CCAGGGCTGACCTGGATCACATCGCTAAGCCACTGATAAAGCTAAGTCATCACCTCTCTCCCCAGGCCACTTACATTCTTTTATTGGATTAGTCATTTGAGACATCTTGTAACAACATCTTTGGTAGTTCTGGAGTAAGAGAGACAACCATGTAGACCAACTTGTTCTGGCGCTACTCTGCTGGATTAGAAATCATGTTTCCAAGCACGTGAGCTGCCCAGAGTTTGCTTTTTCAAATCTTTTAGCGAAGATCTGTAGTTAAATAATCTCATCATTAAGTAAGGAAAAATAAAATATTTCTAGTTATGTTATTACATATTTTTATGAAAGCAGCATCATGAATATTTTTTTTTCCTTTTCCATTAGAGATGGAAATTATTCTTAGATTTCTTATAAGAAAAGTAAAGGGAGTTGTTTGACAAGTTCAAAGTTCTCTCTTCATTAAGGTGCTTTGAAGGATACATCATGCATCCTATTGGAGTATTTAATATGCTGGACAGATGAATGGTATAGAAATGTATGTTGTTTTACCTTCCAATAAGTATTGCACTAAATGTTATTTTGTAGCTTGCTGATAATAGAAAGATGAAATATTTATTACATAGATAATTTTATTTGTATGAGATTTCTGAGGTACAGCTGCCGAGAGATTCTAAAAAAATGTGTTTGCTCTGTTTTAGTATAACTCATCACTGAAGTGAAAGAGATGTTTTAATAGCTGCAATGATACAGGTATTACAATCATAGGATATAAAAAATTAACCTACTGGCTCTTACGAGCAGGGTGAGTTTTCAAGTTGAATATTTTGAAGTGAGATACTGAAGACTTTCATATATTGGTGACTTAAGGATTCTTGAGACAAACTGTGAATTTCAAACCCCAGTGACTTCAACGGGTGCTTACCACTGCTTCAGGTGCTGTGTTCAGCAGTGTTGAACTAATGCTTCTTTGTGTTTCATCCATGTGCAGCATTACTCTACACAGTTAAATTGCTGCTACAGCAATGTGCTGTTTGTGTTTTTTAAGAATGGAGCAAGCCCTGCCATGAAACAGATGTCATTGTAGTAAACACTGTGCAAATAGAGAGCAAAAGAAGGGCTCCTGCCCTGAAATATTTTTTGTATGGATTAGTAGCTTTGGACACAGCTGATTTTTAGCTCCTGTCTGTTGCATGCAGCACGCAAGAGCTGATGTTTGGTTATTTTGAGAAGAGGTGGAAAGGGGAAGATGGCACATCCTTTGCAGGTATCTCTGCTCTTTGGCTTCTGATTGTGCATGCTGGCATGCACAAGGGAGGCCTGCCTTCCTAGGGAGACGAAGGAGTTGAGTGAAAAGCAGTCTGGATTGCAGTCTGCAAGAGAGGAACCCCAAAACTTTTTCCTTCTGGCCACATAGCAGGCTGCAACTTGGACTTCGAGACACATAAACATTAGCATGTGTTCATAGTAATACACATGTACTTCCTGTGTAGAGGGAGATTGAGTGTATGGGTCCATACCCCTCCTTAGCTGACATTTTACACAATCTCAAAACATTTGTTACTAGAATAAAACTGTGGATGATGTGAAAATAGATTGTTTGACCCAAACCTAAATGCTTTCAGGTTCAGGATTTTTTTTTCCAGAATGTATATAATTCTTCCGACCTTATAGCAATCTCATGTTTGCATGAGTAGCTGACTGTCTCAATGTACTTCTTTTTTTCCTCATAACTCCTCAGCACCCATTTAAGTTGCTGTTAGAACGCTGCGTTTTATGGCTTGAAATTATTTATTTCTGTGGAGAACTCTACATTGTCCCTATTTTCTTGGCTTCTATCACAATATACACTGGTACAGATTTTGCTAGTCCCTTGTTAAAAGTGTCGTATTTCAAAACAGGGACTGAAATCTGAGTCTCTTTTAAATTCTTAGCTGCTGTGAGCATTGGAGTCTGTTTACTGTAAGGCTTTGGGCAATGACAAATAACATTTGTGTAAGCTTTCCCCCGACTTTAAGGCCAGAAATAGATATAGCACAGTTTTTTGCATCATTTTTAATCCAGGCCCTCTTTTCTCGTTTGAAAGCTGCTCCTGGTCACTGGAAATGACTTCTGAGAGAAGGTCTTTAAAGGCATGAGCAAGATTGAGCAAATCTGTACATCTGGATTGAAAAAAAGCCCAAGAATTTATTTTTATGTATTCCATCCCTCTGGGAACAGTGCACTGGTGTATATTTATCTCAGGCATGTACTCTTCAGGAGGCTTCCTTGAGCTAATATGCATTGGGAGGTGGAGGAAGGAGGTGGCTCCTTCTGTTTCTTTTTCCTAAAATATGTTTTAGCTGTTTCTCAAACTGCTGTGATTCAGCCTTCTTTTTTTAAAAAAGTCTTGCTTTTTTTGATTGCCCAAACCAATACTAGGTATTCACTAAAATCAGAAACCATGAGAAATTTCTGCAGGTGTGCTTCTGGACCGGTGGGCCTTGCTCACCCCACCATCCCACAGAAGGAGGGCAGCAGGAGCTGTGAGGTGCTGGATTAGGCACTGAGTGTGATGGATTGATTCATAAGGATGGAGTTGGAAGAGTTCATGGTGTACAGCCTGGGGTGCAGCAGGTCCAGAGTTATGAGGTGTGAGTTTTTAGGGGTTACCATCACCTAGTGAGACATCTCTGCACAAGACCCTTCTCTTCAAGAGGGGTGTGCACAAGAGGCTGCTCTCCAGTCCCCAATTCCCTGTTCTCCTTCTCACTATAGGATGAATCATGGAACCTTCCGCATCAATACATCTCTGTTCCAGCTCAGGGTTTTGCTCACGTAGATTAAAATACAAAAAGTGTAGATGATGGAAAGGTGTTTGGTGGAAATTTGGGAATTTTTTTGTTGTTTTTTTGTTTTTTGAACTGCTTTCAAAGCCATGAAAACTAATCACTTTTTTGCTTGGATTTGCTAAACTAAGTCTTGCAAACTTCAGTAGATGCTGAACAATTAAAAAATGACATTTTAAAACAAATAATTATTCTTGGAGTAAAACACATGGGTTTGGGAGACTTTGTCTCTATGTTTAGGGAGAATTCTTTGATTGTCCTAAAATAAGGTAAAATTTCCCCTCTATGTAGATTTTTAGTATTCATTATATTACTAGTAATTAAAAGGCATTTCATTTAAAGGCATTTCAACAAACCCCCAGCATATGAAAGCATAGCTTTATACTTAAGCATTTGTGTGAGCTTTGTCATTTATTGCTGACATCTGGTTGTGGTCTGTCCAAGTTTTAAAGGAAATTTCACTACAGGACCAGTATGATCCATATGCATTAATAAAGTAGTGTTAATTATTGTACTGTCCTTTTCCCATTGGATTCCTTCACTAATTATAAATTCTTTTCTTTTATTTTTTCTTTTCCTTTTCTTTTCCTCTTCTTTATCAGAAAATTGCATAATATATCTGGTCTGGAGGGCAGTCATGTTTGGTAATGTATGTTTTTTATTGGTGTAAAATAATCTGAAGATTATACATGCTCCAGAGCTCAATTATGCTTTCAGCTGTTGATGCTGTGAATTTCAGTATTTCTTTTCCAGTTTGGTCATTTTAGAAATAACATCTAAAGCTGTTTCCCACATCACAACTGAAGAGTTGTCATGTTTATTTAACCAGCTGCATCTGGCTTCCAGTAAGTCCCAAATTTCAGTTTTTCACAGCTGTACATGGATTCCTGTCGTGCCCACAGAGCACAGAAAAATTTTTTGCTAAGCCTAAATTTGTTGAAAGAAATGTTCTTTTTATAGGAGAAGGGATTAAGTGTTTTTCAGATCATATCCTATCTCACAAATTCCTTATTCCTTAGAGGACAACACACAGATCTTCTGGCAGTGTCCCTGCTGGCACTACTGCATGTAGAAAAGGTTTTCCAGTGGTGTTTTTGGGGCCAGGCTGGAGATGATGAGGTCAATCAGCAGAAGCAGCCAGTGCCAAGCTGTTAGCACGGTCATGCCATGGGAGTCAGAAAGGTGTGGAACACTGCCTCTGCCTCGCAGCCCCCAGAGACAGGCACTGCCCTTGGCCTTCAGGCAGCACGCTGTAGTCACATGTAAGAAGTGTAATCTGAAAAGTTATGACATTACAAATATCTAAAGGAACCAGAATCTAGTGAGGTGATAAAAACTGTACTGGTCTGATTTGGTTTAGTTATATGAATAAAATAAGTATGTAATGTTTAAGGCAAAGAAGTTGCTCTGTGGGAAGTTGAGTCCAATAATATTAATATCTTAAGATGTATCTTGGTATTCTGTCGTTTTATGGGTCTGCTTTGGGTAGGTCTGTTTAGGATGATACTTTGCTTCTTTGCTTTTGTAGGATGCGTGTGCCTTAATTAGATTATTGGGATGGGAGAATTGTCAGTTTTGTAACTCTCCTTTTCTACTGCCTTTTACAGCGCAGCATAAGGTCTACTTGGACATTTGTGACTTTGAGATAAACTTTTAAATTCTCTAATAATCAAAAATTAGTTTTGGAATATCTCTGGTGTAAAAGCGAAAACGTATTGACAAGATTTTGTGTTTTAAGATACACTTTTGACATTTCACAAGGATTGGGGAAAGAGATATTTCACATAGTCTGGTTCTTAACAAGGTTATTTTTCTGGTCTTTATGTAGGCTTTAATTAATCTGACTAGTTTTGTCATGCTTTCATTAACTCTTCTACTGGTATAATGATTACTTATTCTGAAAGACACTATCTGATTTTTAAGGTTGGATGTTTTCATAACTTTTGCATGCTCGATCCTTAAAAAGATGTTGAGTTTTATTTTTTTACACAGGATTCATTAGTTTGTGGTTTTTCTTACATGGAAAAGCTTTTGTTTTTTTCCTTTTCATTCACACGTATGTATATGCACACCTATAAATACACTGCGAATAAGCCATATACAAATCCTTTTTATTAAATCACTTGTTAAAGTTCAGTAGTCGACTCTACATGGTCCTCACAGTTCAACTGTTTCATTTTGTTCTTTACACAGGAGCCCTTACCAAAGTAAAGGAGAGTAAGCGGCACGTGGAAGAGGGGAAGATGGAGCTCCAAAAAGCTGAGGGCATTCAAGAACGTTGTAACATTATTTCTTTTGCAACCCTTGCAGAAATTAATCATTTCCACAAAATTCGTGTGAGGGACTTTAAATCACAGATGCAGCATTTTTTGCAACAGCAAATACTCTTTTTTCAAAAAGTGACACAAAAGCTAGAAGAAGCTCTTCACAAGTATGACAGTGTTTAGTCTCTGGTTTGTAGACTTCGCTCAGCACGAATGTGACCCAGGCAGCAAAGCACCTGCTGCTGAAGAGCTGTTGCCGGTGGTAGATGGCGGTACAAGGATGGGTTTGTGTTCACCTGGAACCCGGTTTAATCTCTGGTTATGTAGAAAGGAAACAGTTATAGGGCTATGTAGTAGAAACAGTACCACGCATTGTAACTAAGTTATACTGTGTATGCCTACACCATTGTAACTTTTTTGAAATAATGAGTATACTATTTGCCTTATTGCTTTTTGAAATACGGTATCTTAGTGCATACTTAGTAGACCTCAAAGCCCTTTGGGTATTTAAGGAAGTTGGCTGGATAAAAGCCTGCTTCAGATGCCTTTTACTTTCCTAGATTTGGATTTCCTAAATTCAAACAATTCTCTGTTTACAGACTCCTACTAGAGCAGCTATGTGATTCTGTGCCTTTAGACTCTATTCCTTTTCTAGTAAGTCACATTTTTATGATTAAATGAATGAAGGGTTGATGCCTATGACAGGAACTGATGATGAAACCTCACACTGACTGGAAAAAATCAGCTGCGAATCCAGTTTGCATAGCAAGTACTTTCTTATTGCAAATGTTGGCTCAAAAGGGAAAAGTTAAATTTATTCACATTTTCCCTGGAAATTGAGACTACTTGTTACACGTACTAGGATGTTAAGCACATGTACAAAAATACACCACTTAATTCCCTTTCTGAAATAAGTAATACAGTGAGGGGTGGGGTTGGTTGTTTTTTTGGTATATAGCATTACTGTAAGTGGAAAATTGAAGAGCTAGCCTAATAAAAATTGCCTATTTCAAGGGGATATTAATGCATGCTATGTGGCTGCAATATCTTTTTTAAGTTTTTTGAAATTATTTGCTCTTTGTTCAGTTGCTGATTCAATTTAACTTCAGACTTTCATCTGCATTGCCAGTTGTCTGAGTTGAAACTCCACTGTGATTCATTAGTTTACTAAGTTAAAAGTTTTTGGGGATTTTCAGTAATATAAATGGTCTGAAGTCTTGGCTGAACTGACTTGGAAAACAGGTGGCACTTTTATGTTTGTAACACTCAAGAATTAACAATTGTCTTAATTTTTGTATAAATATTTTTGACAAACAGGGTGCATTTATATATATGTAAACGCTATCTTTTAAAGAGGTTTATGGCTTATTTCTCTTGAATTAAGTCTGAAGTCTGTATTTCTTACCTGTTGGTTTCCTTCTTATAGGTCAGTATAGAAGATGTTTTTTGTTTATCTTATCTTTTTTCTCCTAAACAAAAATAACAAAACTACGCGAGGAAGCAAAATGTTTATTTTTTTTTTTGTTTAATTGAATTAATCAAAAATCGCTTGAACAAATGAAAGCCTGGAAAAGGAAGTTGAGCAACGGTTACCATAAAGTACAAATCATTCCTCACCTATGCAGCAGAAATGTGCAGTTCTTTGACATGATCATGTGAGTTTCTGTAGTTTAACCCCATACATCTGTATCAGAGAAATAACATGTAAGAATGTAGTTTTGGTTCCAAGACTCGTCTCCAAATGTTTGGAGATGGCTGTTTTGCACAAGCTGTGTTTGGTGGTGCTTCTAGTATATACATAAAGCAGTAAAATACAGAATAATGAAGGGGGAAAGCAAGTGTTTGTAAAAGAAAGGACAATCAGTGAGGAAAGACTCCATTTGCAGCCTATTGGAACAGTTCTGCAAACAAGATTGACCATGAAATAAGGACCACAGTCATAGGGCTGACTTGCTCTTTATCTTCCTCATGGTGTCTCATTCTACACTCAAAACTCACCACTTCCTCAAATAGTTCTTCCCAACAGTACTCCTGCTTTCCCATACGTCATTTAATTACGTGACAGAGTGATGAACTAGGTTTGAGCTGAGTTCCATGGCTAATGTTTGCTTAAGCCAGATACTGTTTTAGTAAATGTCTCTACAGTAATTAGATCAGTTTACAGTCAAACTGATTCTACATGGAGGTATTAAGACCTGTTCAGAAATTGATCTTGGTTCAGTTGAATTATTTTAGCAGGTTAGTATTAATGACATATTCATGTCCGGGAGGAAATTAAGCTGTGATATGTATTCTTACAACGTTATAAGACAGGTACAGTTTTCCCTAATAAACTGTCATAGCCTTCACCTTACGTTCTCATTTGTGAATTTATTTGGGCACAGGAAAAGTAGGTGTAGTAATCGGTTAAATTTGATATGCCAGAAAATCTTGTCTGGAATCCTGGTTTAAAATGTTGCAGAGTGCAGAAAGGTTCAAGTCTACACCTATATTAGCATTTTCCTCTTTTCCTCAGTCATTATAGAGTTGAACTGGCTGATGGGTGGAGCACAAGGAGTTACAGTAAAGGGTGTTGCATCAGGCTGGTGAATGGTCACCAGTGGGGTTCTACAGAGCTTGATTTTAGGCCCTGTGCTCTTCACTGCCTTCATAAATCACTTGGACACAGAACTCAAAGAGGTACTAAGTTTGATGATGAGACTAAGTTGGGAGTGACTGTGAACTCTCTTAAAGGCAGAGAAGCCCCATAGAGAGACATGGACAAATCAGAGGGATGGGCAATCATCAACCATGTGAAGTTCAACAAGGGCTGGTGCCAGATTCTGCCCCTGGGATGGAGCAGCCCTGGATGTACAGACAGACTGGGCAATGAGAGGCTGGAGAGCAGTGCCATGGAAAGGGCCCTGGGGTTCTGGTCCATGGCAAGTTGAACATGAGCCAGCAGTGCCCTGGCAGCCAGGAGGGCCAAGCGTGTCCTGGGGACATCAGGGACAGCATCAGCAGCCAGGCAAGGGAGGGGATTGTCCTGCTGTGCTCTGCACTAAGTGCTGGGGGCTGTTCTGGGTGCCACAGTATAAGACAATAAACTCCTAGAGAACATATCCATGGGAGGGCCATGAGGATATTGAAGGTTCTGGAGGGGAAGCCTGATGAGGAGCAGCTGAGGTCACTTGGTCTGTGGAGCCTGGAGAAGAGGAGACTGAGAGGTGACTTTACTGTGCTCTTCAGCATCCCCATGAGGGAAAGAGGAGGGGCAGGCACTGATCTCATCTCTATGGTGACTGGTGACATGGCCCAAGGGAATGGCCTGAAGTTGTGTCAGGGCAGGTTTGGGTTGGATATTAGGAAAAAATTCTTCACCCAGCGGATGTTTGGACACTGGAACAGGCTTATGAGGGAAGCTTGGTCCAAGCACCAAGCCTGACAAAGTTGAAGAAGTGTTTGGACAATGCTCTTGGGCATATGGTGTGACTTGGGGATTCCTGTCAGGAGTCAGTTTCCTCAGGGCCAGGAGTTGGACTTGATGATCCTGATGAGTGTCTTCCAGCTCAGCATATTCTATGAGTTTATGTAGGTAGCCTGAACTCCATAATGCTTGCTACATAATACAAGAACTACAGTATTAATTGTATTTGGATCAAGTATGACATTGACCACTTATGGCTGACTGACTACTGAGTGGTGTGATCTGGGATCCAAGTGTACTCTAACAGTAATGTGAATGTATATTGTGTGGGACTATGGAAGCACCAAAGGAAATCTAACCATTTAAATAAATAAATGTGAAAGAAAGCAAATTTGCTCTGTATCATAAACACTTTTGTTTCATGTGATTCATGTAACTTGTTTTTGTTTCATCACAGTTTTTGTGTTGATAAGTAGTAAGAATCTAGTATGCTTGTTGGGGTTGGAAACCTGCAAGAAGATCCTCTGAGGTATTGTTAAAATGCTGAGTCCTGTGAAAACTGAAATGAACCCATCAGGGTAATATATCTATGCAGCATATATCTATATCACCAGCAAGTGGAGTGTGAACAATATTTCTGTTCAAATTGCAGGGTTTATAGTTAGAAATTAGCAGCATACTAGAATTGTTAGATGTTTGATTCCTATCCCTTTTCTTTTGTGATACTTGCAGAAGCGAGTTACCCCTATGATTTGTGCATGTTCTCTACATTCTCGCTACCTTCTTTCAGGGGCCAGTTGCATGGTACACCTCATTTATAAGTGTTGTAAGACCTGGCTTAGAGGGGTCAATAGAATAATTGTGCAGTGATGAAACATGCAAGACAAGCACCAACAGAACCTGGGAAAAAAAAGCAAGAATATGTTGCGAATAAAATTGGCTTGGTTTTAGAAAACTTTAATCAGCTGCCTATCCTGAAAATACCTACATTACTTGGTGATGCACAGGTATCTTTTTGTTGAATTATAAGATCTGGTTGCCAGTACCTGATTATTTTTCCAGACCTTCACCATACAAGCTAGCATCTTTCATGCTAGTTGTCTGCTGCAACCTGAATTCCTCTGGGAAGCTTAAGTGAGAATTGTTCAGCTATTTCTCAAAAGGAGTTCATAAAAAATTTTAAAAGGGAGTTTTCTTTTTAAATTCTGTAAACAATTTGGCTGGAAATATTCAGTTCTTTCATACTTTGGAGAAAGGACTTGATATTTGGCAGACTCATCTTTTACAACCTTAGATGTGCTTTCTGCACAGCCTATGAAAATTTGTCCATCTATTTTCAAGTTATACTTAAGTTTCTCTGGGCCCTGCTGTGCTCAGTTTTGACAGATACATTTTCTGTACCTCCCCTTTGCACCAGGCAATCTTGATTCTAACCTTAAGTCAGCAGCAGCTAGGTGAGGCTTTGTCTAAATTCTTTTTCCCCTTCATTCAGAGGGGGCTGCACCTCTCAGAGCACACGCTGAACAAAGACGCTGTCAATAGGTTCTGCCAGCACTTTCAGCATGGCCGTGGGAGAAGAGGAGCAGCAGCCTGGAACACAGGTTTGATGCTGTGCCTGGCAGCTACAATGTGGATGTCAGAGGTAGTTGAAGAGGAGCAGGAAGGTAAGAAAATGGTGAGGAGAGAAAGCCCTGTGACTACAAAAACCTGTTCCTCCAGTGCCTAATTATTACCTTGGGCTTCCAAAGCATCTGAGGCCTTTTGCTCTTTCTAAATAGCCATCATGAGCAGGCAGAAATGAGTAACTTTAGTTCTGCTGGTGGTGAGGACAGCAACGTTTTGTTTCCATCGTTAGAGGTTACTTTCTTTGCTTGGTGGTCTCATGGGCAGTTGAAAACTTTTGAAGAGCTGTAGATTTCAGGGCTGGATGAGATGCCATAATTCAGTCAGCACAGTGGGTATCAGTGTGGCCTCACATATTCTGTTATATGCTTTTTTCTTGGGAAGAGGAGATCAACTTAGGAAATTGTGCACATAAAAACCCCCTGTATTAAGGAATACTAAGATCAATAATTCAGTTTTTAAAAAAATAAAAAATTAAAAAATATTTCAGAATTTAAGTTGCCTGTGGTAAATACTATATCAGGACACCTCATGAGACATGGTCGAAGAACTTTTTGCACTGTTTCCCTTCCCGATTAAGTGCGCATGATATAATGCATTGTCCTAGTCATCTTAAGTTCTTTCAGGGAGGTTGTTGTCTGGCTGATCCTTACTTCTGTTACAGAATCAGTTGTACTCTGCACAGTGAGAAAGACTGGCAGAGTGGAGATCAGGTACAGGTGGCTGGCAGCCTGCAGAGAGGTCGACTCTGTCCCTGTCTCTACGCAGGCTCTGTGCAATATAAGCCATGTGAGATAAATCATTTATATGCCCACCATTTTGTGTAGGCTTGAGTTAAACCCAGGATCTACACTGAATAAAGTGCTGGGAATTCACAGTTTTCACTGAAGGTTATGTACATTCTGCTTTGGATAAAGGAAATGCTTCAAAATACAAAGTTGTCTGGAAAAAAAATAATCAGGTAGTCATTTCTTTAGGTAGACCAGCACAAATTGGAGAACATTTGTAATCCATTAGCAGCAAAAGAGGAATAGTAAACCCAGATCATAATGTTGGAATTTTGCAAATGTAAGTATAAACTCCTTGAAATTAGTTTGTAGATATTGATTTATTTTAAAAAATCCCTCATGAGAAAATTAATATTTAGCCTTCATGAATGTGAATGTTACTTAGGAAATATGGATTGGGCCACATGTAGAGTAGCAAGGATTCTCAGGAGCTGTTCATTCCGTGAATGGCACAATAAAGGCCTTCTCAGATTAATCATATAGTGATCATGTCACTGGAGCACATTTTGGATGTATATTCACAGGAAAGCTGAATTAGCCACATGGGCTAACTTACTTCTGGCATTTCTTAAGGCTTGAGATGCTGTTTTGTAATTCAGTAATTTCTCAGTGTAACACAGTGCAGTGTAGTATTATACATAGAAAAGTAAATTGTGTAATATATGTAAGTAATGTAATTTCGGTATACTTCAGACTCGCAGTTGGCAGCAAAGCTCAGGCATGCCCTGAGTTAATTTAAATACGAATTACTTTTACTTTTTACAGTAAAACTCTTAATTTTCTAAAGTTAAAAGGCATCTCCTGTACTGATTGACTGATAGGCTTGCCATTTGGCAACTCTTTTTAAAACTAAGCACTTAATTTGGTCCCACTTTGAAATCAATGGGGTTTTTTTGCTTGACTCCACTGGGAGGAATATCAGGCTCAGAGAGTTGAAATTACATCCCCCTATCAACTCAGAAGTTTTCATTCCCCTCCTGTGCTCATTTACAACTGAATCTAACATACAGAATTTTGAAGTTGCCTGTCAAAAAGCTCTATCCTGCAATTTTAATCAAAACCATCCCCTCTTTTTGGGAATATGACATTAACAATTGAAATGAAGAATGGTACTGCTTTTGGTTTCAAAATACATTTCCAAGGAGCATGAAAACGTTCTGTGAGAAGATAAAATCAGGAATTTTGAATTTTATCTCTTGATAAAATTTTATCTCTTGAGCATTTTGGCTGGCATTAACAACTAATATTTTATGGAGAAAATAATGCTGCACAGGAGGAGCATGACATAAATACATTAAAAATTGTAGAGCTAGGTGAAGCAATACAAAGTTTTATTTGTAGGGAGTTAAGGTGACTGTATTTCTGTTGGTATACCCCATGCTATTTTTTAAGATCTCTTTGGGAACAGTCAGTTCTTTAATTAAATATGAAGATGGTGAAATAATGTTGTAAGTCACCAGCCCTCAGGTAAGGGTTGCAGGAGACGCTTAGTTCCTTCACTGTCCTTGAGGGGCACTTCACTGGCTCCTGT